AAAAAAAAAAAAAAAAAAAAAAAGGAGGTTTCAATTTCACTCATCTACTTCCATCTAGGAAGTTTCAACTATTCTTCCCCCCCCACCACTTTCTTCACAGCGTGCGCGCGCGTACAAAGCATACAACGCACCTCCCCTCAGTGTACGCCCATGTACAACGTTTTTTTTTTTTTTTTTTTGGGGGGGGGGGGGGGCGTGGTTGGGTCCGATGCGGGATGACGAGGGCTACACCTACCGCGAGGGCAATTCTTTTTCCTTTCCTTTTTTTTTTCTTTTTTTTTTTTCGTGTTCATTTATTGAGAAAAAAGAAAAGGTTGATTGAGTGATTGATTGATTGATTTTTACTTTTTTGTGTTTGTCTTTTCTTCTGGTGTTCATTTATTCAAAAAAAGAAAAGGTTGATGGATTGATTGATGGATTGATTGATTGATTGAATGGTCCAATGGAATCGATCGGATCGGTCCGATCGATTCGATCTTATCTCTCTCTCTCTCTCTCTCTCTCTCTCTCTCTCTCTCTCTCTCTCTCACACACACACACACACACACACACACAGGCTGTGGGCGCTATGGACAAAACGGCCCCAAAAAAAACTATTCGCAGTATTAAAAAAAAAAAAAAAACTAGGAACACTCCTCTTTTTTTTTCCAGATACTGTACTTGCGGGGCTGTCGCTCCATGTTTTTTTGTCCCCCCTCCCCTCCCCCGTGCGTTTGAGTACAATGTGAGTTTTGTACTCGCGCACAACGATTTGTACGAGAGTACAATTTTTTATTTTGTTTATTTTTTTTTGGTACAGGAGAGACGCCTAGACTTCCTTTTTTTTTTGTTTTAAGTTTTAACTCAATATTCAACTTTCATTACAGCACAACACTTTCTACATACGTCGTGAAAGAAAAGAAAAGAAAAGAAAAGAAAAGAAAGTGTTGTGTTGGCTGAACACAAGGCCCGATCTCTTTCCATCCGATTTCACATACACAGTACACAGTTGACTTGAAGTCGTGAAAGAGATGGGCCCTTGCTACACTACTGACCACATGCACAAAAGGACAAAAATTATGGCGGTGTATCTTTCCATGTTCTAGTGGAAGATTCATTCTCATTTTGCACACTTGGCGAGTAGTGGAGGAGCCAGGCCCATGGACACTACAGGATACAAAGCTGATGGTGAATCTCCAGAAGCCGCCTCATTCGCGCCAATGGTTCTCGAAGCATCTCATCGCTTTCATCACTGTAAGA